AGAGCGGAGTTTAGGGCTGTTGTACATAGGGTCGCTATGAGTCGCAGGCGACTCGACGGCACATAACAACAACAACAACAACACCTTCCCTCTGTAACTTGATTGGTGCCACTATTAGAGCCTCTATGTGGAATATTACTGCTTTTCAATTTTTGACTCATGTACTTTTAACTTGTTAGTTAAATTTGTGTCTTCTAGGCTGTAAGACTTCCATGGATATGAACATGTACAGCTAAGAGCAATTGATAACAGTGCATCTAAATTCCAAAATCAATCTCCATAATAGTCTACGTGTTTCCTATTTCCAAAGGGACCATTTAGAGTAGTGAGAGAAGATCTTCACCCTGAAACCTACAGCATCCCTTTCCAGCAGGAAGTAGCTAAGAGAATACGCCATCTCCTTTTCCTTATGAATCAGGGTGAAGTCTCTCTCAAGGAGGAGTGATAGGGAATGGCAAAGGACACACTGCCAAAGGAGATTAATCAGAACTGGCTTTGACAAGCACTCTGGCAATTGGACAATTAAAACAGGCTTTCAAGGGGAGGGGAAAGAAGAACGAACTGGGGAGGAGGGTAGAAAAAATAGTGCAACAATGAATGAATGAAAACCCCAAGTCTCTGTAAATGTTCATTAAAATTAATAAAATTTAATAAAAAAATGGAAATCAAAAGATGAATTGTATTGGGAAAATCCGCCGTCATGGACCTTTCCAGATTGCTGAAGAGCAACCATGTCAGCCTATAGGTGTGCCTTATCCAGGCCTGGGTTTTCTTAACTACTTGTTATGCTTCAGAACATTGGATAATGACTAAGGATGATAGAAGTTTAATAGATGCCTTTGAGTTGTGGTGCTGGAGAAGAGTCTTGACCATACTATGGACTGCCAAGAAAACAAATAGGTCTGTCTAGTAGAGAGTGAAACCAACTCTCCCCTTGGAGGATAGGATTTTGAAGCTCTGTCTCACTTACTTTGGGCACATGGCCAGGAGAGATCGGTCCTTGGAAAAGGACATTATACTCAGAAGGGTGGCCAGACAGTGCAGGAGAGGGAGACTCCAGATGAGATAGATTGATACAATACTGGGATGATGAGGGTTGGTGTGTCAGAATTAGTGAGACTGTCTCAGGACAGAGAGGGGTTCCGAGCTGCTGTACATAGGGTCATTATGCATCACAGGTGACTCAACCAATAACTTTCTATGACAGTTCTGGAAGTGGAGTGGCATCCACTTTCTAAACAATTTACCTCCAGAAACTCTTATGAACTTGGATAAATGTCAATAGTTTTAGAGAGTCTTCAGGCCTTTTGTTCATAGGGTTTCTATTAGTTATTCTTGACTCGAAGGGAATCAACAACAACAATAGACCAAGAAGGTGTTGGTCTGAGTAAAACAAAGGAAAACTGCATACTTTAAATTTAGGAAGGGTATATGTCAGGATTGTATCCTTTCTCCATACCTATTCAGTCTGTATGCTGAGCAAATAATTCATGAATCCAAACTCAATGAAGAAGAATGTGGCATTAGGATTGGAGGAAGACTCATCAAAAACCTGCATTATGCAGAGACACAATTTTGCTTGCTGAAAGTTAGAAGGACCTGAAATGCTTGCTGCAGAAGATCAAAGACAATAGCTTTCAAAATGGATTCTATTTTAACATCAAGAAAACAAAGGTTCTTACCACTGGACCAAAAGGCAACATTATTGCAGATGGAGGAAGGACTGAAACTTGCAATAATTTAATTCTACTTGGATCTACAATTCATACTCCTTTGTACTAGCATTCAGGAGTTGTATTGTTTTGGGCCAATCTGCTGTCAGGGATCTCTCTAAAATTCTGAATACCAATGACATCAGTTTGAAGACTGAAGTGTGCCTGATTCAGGTCCTTCCCCCCGCCCCAATCACTTGCTATACATCTGAGAGCTGGACAGTTAATAAGAATGATAGAAGAGTTTACCTCTGAGTTGTGGTATTAGAGAAGAGCACTAGAACAAACAGGTATTTCTTGGAAAATGTGATGCCAGAATGCTCCTTGGAAGTATGTATGGTGAAGCTTTGTCTCTTATACTTTGAACATGTTGCTAGGAGAGGTTATTCATTAGAAAGAAAGCCATGCTTGGAAAGGTTGATAGTCAGTGAAAGAGAGGAAGACCTCCACCAAAATGGATTGACATGGTGACTGCAGCAATGGGCTCAAGTGTATCAGGAATGGTGTGGATGGCACAGGATAGGCCAAGATTCAGGTCTGTTATTCATAGTGTTACTGAGTCATACTTGCCTCAAAAGCATCTACCAACTACAACAGATCCACAAAGCCGCTGCTATTTATAGGGTTTTCTAGAGCTCATTATTTTGGAAGTGGGTGGCCAGGCCTGCTTCTTAGTCTGGATATATGGCTAAAACCTTTAAAATCTATACTTTGTGCAGCTAAGGTGCATATTTTGAGAATGTTATCAGGAAGGGCCAGTCCTTGAAAAAGGACATCCTGCTTGGAAAAGCAGATGGTTAGTAAGGAAGAGGAGGCCCCTCAATGAGACAGACTGACACACTGACTGCAATAATGAATTTAAGCACAGGGTAGAGATTGTGAGGATGAAGCAGGATCAAGCAGAGTTTACGTCTGCTTTACAAAACAGTCCAAGTCAGAGTGATCTCATCAGCACCTGACAGCAGACACGAAGACACTAGACCATATCCACAGAAACTGGGCAAAATAACAGACTTGGTTAGTGGCTATTGTTCAGCTAAAAAAAAAATGGAGGTTGAGGCTCAGCTCACACTTTGTCAGGATATTTCCTGAAACCAGAACTCAGAAAATCCTATGTCAGGAAATTTACTGAAACCAGAGCTCAGAAATTCCCATATCAGGACTCTTCCTTAAAACAGAAAATCCCAGAAACTTTATGCACCAATGAGCTACTGCAATGTCAACTCATCTCAAAACCCTCTAAAACACTTGCTAGAACCCCATATAAGACCTCCCAAGCCCAACCCCCAGCACTACTCCCCTTGCTGAGTAACCCAGCATATAATAAATTTTAAGTATTCTACTTTGGCATGGTTCTTGGCTTCGATCAGAAACCTTTCAGTTAATTAAATCTAGGTAGAAAAGTCTTACAATTTACTTTTGAAGATGAGTAAATGTGAACTCTGAATCACGTGTTTTCAATTGTGTTGAAAAATGAGTCCTCTGGGCTGGGAAATCACTCAAAATATACACTGGCCAGAACAATAGGCTCAAGCATACCAATGACTGTAAAGATGGTACAGGACTGCAACATTTCATTCAAAACTGACTTATCAACTAACAACAACAACAAAAATTAAAAGGGGTTAAATTATAAAGGAGTAAGAAATTAGTATGAGTGCATGTCTGGGGGAATCTAAGGGGCTTAGAGTGTGGGGAATTATTCAATTGACAGGAAAAAAAGAATCATGTTTACATGCTGTGCATCAGAAGCAATGGCCAAAACAATAAAATATTTAAAGTTTAGTCATTTTTCCTGACAGTGAAGATTCCATCAAAACAAACATACAATTGTCTGTTTCCAAAATAATGGTCAAGGCACTAGATCACCAAGAATTAGAAGTGCTTGGATAAGGACCACAAATTAATAGAGGAATTTGTCTTTAACCATCGATGTTGTCAGCCACATACATACAACTGAGTGACATGATGCCTGTCCCACACCAGCCTCAGGACTGTTGTGGCCTGTAGGGTATCGATTGGCTGTACGACAACATATTCATGTGTGAAATTAAAGGACATAAATTTGATGTTGATTTACTTAAACTAGATGTCAAAAGACCTTGGTGGTGTGAATTAGCTATCACAATGGCTGCTAAGCCAATGCTGGAGGTGCCTTGTAGATTTACTGTGCAGGCTCAGCATGCAAATCCTGTGGAGCGCAGTTCTACCCTGACAAGCAGGAAGCTGTCATAAGTTGAAGTTCATTTAACCGTAACTGGCTTGGGTTGACCTCTCTTGCTAGACCCTCATTTATTTCTAAACATTATTGCCCTAGTAAGTGGGGATTCACAGCAGCAAATCTGCTGTATCACACAAGTGCCACCTCCAGCTCCACCTATGTCAGTCTGTTCAACTGCACCTGGATAAAGCAGGTCCTGAAAGGCAGCAGAACTCCTGTCCAGCGCCATTTTTTGTTTCAAATTGGCATGTACTTGAGCCTACAAAGGAAAAGTTCAAAGTCAGTCCACAAGGCTTTACAAGTGTTAACAAAACAATAACTTGACCAGTTTAGGAAATTCACACTATTTTCCTTATTGACAGGTGAAATTAAAGTTTCTCTCATTCAAATTTTTACATCATTTTTCATAACCATTTAAATGAGAGTAGTTGGTGGGAGAAGTATTAGACAGAAAAATATAAGATGAGGGAGAAGATGATTCAGGTTCTATTCTCCCTTAATTTCCTTTATCATCTTCCTAGTTTTATACTTCATGTTGACCTGAGAAAGCTAAAGGAAAGGATACGTACAAGTCTTCTAACAAAATATTCTAGGATCATAAAAAATATATATAGGGTGAATGTTCTTCCAAATTCCAATTCTTATTCTGAAATTAGCTTCTCAGGAGACAGTCTAACATGGATGCAAAGGAGAAAGGAAAGCAGTCTTTTTCTATCCCGTGAATAAAAAAGAGGAATGGATCAACCAAGCACCACTTAGCCTTTTATAGTAGAATAAAATTTAATTTAAAAAATTCGTTATAAGAGATAAAAGAATTTTCTAAAATGAATATGAGCTGGCCAAATGGGACCTTATTTGTTTCTAGAAGAATCTTTACTGTAACAAGCATAAGCGTAGTTACCTTTTGACAGGCTTTCTTCCAGTTTAGCTGAGTGATAAAGCCTACAAAACATGCAGCTTGGAAGACCACACAGATGATGATCCCTGACCACAGACCTAGAAGTGGATTGTTTTATAAAATTAATTTAAGAAAAGTTGGCCACATTGTCCAGAATGTTTATTGTATCTCACTTCTGCCAGCTACTCTGAGCAACTGCTCTCAGAGCTGACCAGGGGCCACAGGGAGCCAGAAACTCACACCTGTTCTCTTGTTTGATTCCCAGAGGCTTGGAAAGGCTGATAGTTCTGGAGGTCAGAATAAATGTTCAGAGGCATTTTTTGGCCTCTGATTATAACACTTGGCAATCAAGTGTCCAGGTAAATGGATTTCCTTAACACAGGAGACAAAAAATAAAAAATGAGTTCATGAGTGGTATTAACAGTATGATTGGAAATCTGAGTCTATCCAAAGTCACCTTGGAAGAAAAATACAGCAATCTACTTAAAAAGAAATGGCTATTGAAAGTGCCAGGCAGAGCATTTCAACACAGTGTCTTCATGAATCGGGATGATTCTGAAGATAGTAGTGTGGTGGACAGAAAAAAATCCCATAGAAACCATTGGCACTATAAATGACAAATGAGCCCTCCTTAACACTTGCTCCAGAGGCTTACTAAGTTTGTAGACACTTTTTTAAAAAAAATAAAACAAAACAAAACAAAAAAAACAGCGATCCCAGAACAGAATAATTCACTAGAGATAATAGAAAGGGGGACAGATAAGCTGAGTGTGAAGGGCTTTGAAAGCACCATTACTAACAGATGGATTCTGGCTTTAGGGATCCCATGTGGGCTGACATTTAATGCTGTCCACCTCCGCTCCCCTTCATGATTTCTGGGATTGAACCTTTGCAATCCATGAGGTTTCTCCTGGTTGATTTTCAGAACGTCATTGCCAAGGCTTTGTCTGGAAGATCCACTGAAACTCATCAGCATTGTAGTTCCACAAACAAACAAATAATAGCTACATATCAGGTTTAGAAATGTTGCTGGGAAGCAAACTTGGTCCTTCCACATGCAAGGTGCTAATCCTACCTCAGAACCACCACTGCCAGCAGGACAATGATCACAACTTCCTGAGCCCTGGACAGACTAGGGTGTATCTGAAAAGACTCTCAGGAAAATTCAATGGCCATCATTAGTTGCTTGTGTTGCTTTTGAGAATCTGTAGCACTACATGTTACCAGAGGTGGTCCCAACTTCAAGACCAACTAGCACTATACTTTCTCCTAAGAGAAAGTGGCAGTAATCAACCTGTAGTCTTAAAGCAGAGCCTGCACCACCTTAAAGTTCGTCATTATTTCATTTATTTTTATTATTTTATATGAAGTCTTGCAAATTCTTCCAGTGAAATTTTTAAAATTATTTGATTGGAAGTTACAAATCATATCTGTTTTTCACACAATCATTCACAGATATTTTGTATGGCTGATACAGTCCATCCATGGTATTCTCAGTTGCTTGCTATACATCTGAGAGCTGGAAAATGATTAAGGATGACAGAAGAAGAATCTATGCCTTTGGGCTGTGGTACTGGAGAAGAGCATTAGACATCCTATGGTTGTTGTTGTTGTTATGTGCCATCGAGTCGTTTCCGACTCATAGCGACCCTATGCACAACAGCTCTAAACCCTGCTCTATCCTGCGCCAACCG